AAGTAGCTAGCTAGATTCGCGTACGCGCGCTCATGTTTCCAAGGCAGTACACAACGGGATGATAGCGGATTCGCGGTCGGATATTTTTCACAGGGCCAAACGCAACGTGCATCAGCAAATGGGATGTCTCTTGATACGCTTCTTCACGCTCTTTTACGACGCTGGCATCTAGCCGCGCGATTTTACAACCCAACATACCGACGAGCAAAACCGCGGCTGTGAGAATAACACGTATCGATATGCTTCGCTGCTAAGTTTGATTGCGTTCTATGCTGCGCGTAGAGAGAAGAGGAATGCGTAAAGCGCGGGTCGGGGGCGATGAGTAAAAGGTGGAATGAATAACTCCGTTAAGTGAGAAAGTGAATGGAAAAGCGGGCGAGAGCAGACACGGTGGCGATGAGAACGCGACCACACTCGATGCGAAATGCCGTCAAGGAGAATGCGTTTCTCTCCCCGCTGTCAATACGCACGAAGACTTAATTAACTGCGAAATAACGAAAACTGTGGAATCAAGCGGCTGGATCGCCAGCGGAGCAGGTAGAGGGTGAAGACGTTTCGCGTAGATGGGGTGAGTAAGTTAATCAGAGAGAATAAGAGACGGGTTCTCGGACGAGCCCCAACTGGTTTAGTTCCTAGAGCGATTGTTTGAGCGCACGGAAATATAGTGTACAACTCAAGCAAGAGAACATGGCCGTTTGCGCATGTTAGTGCGAATAATTTCGACTATGGAAGGATGATATGATGGAAGGATGAATGTTTGACAGAGTGATAACGCACGAGCCGAATACGTTTCCGGTCTCTCTCGCAACATACGCGATGAATCAAGCTTTTACGCTGAAGCTTCTGTGTCCCCGCCGCGGCCATCTTGATTAATGACGTCAGGATCGAGAAAACGCACGCCCAAAATTCGCGCGGAATACGTCGACATAAAAGGTTATGTCCATGAAACGACACTTGTGATCGATTGAGCACATTTGTCGAATATTCCGAAAACTTTCCTTTTATTCTAACAATCAATAACTAACCGTAAAATTAACGTAACAGAATCATGAGAAAAGATAGACTAACAAGGAAGGTCGTATGTCACGTTAATTTTACGATTATTTATTGATTGTTAGAACAAAAAAGGAATTTTCAGAACAAAAGTAGTTTTCGGAATATTTTGCAAATGCGTTCAATCGGTCTCTTTATGAACATGTTCTTTTATTTCAATGTATTTCGTAAGAATTTTGGGCATACTTCTGACATTATTAATCGAGAATTTTGCGGCGGGAAACCTGGAGCCTTAAATCAACCCTGTCAGACACAAAGCGATTAAGATTTTCTTTGACAAAAATAATCGGCCAATCGATAATCCAAATAGATCACTCGTCATATATAAAATCACAAATAATTTTATCGTTTGTTGAAATTAATTATTAATTAAGCTTTGATTATACACTAATTAATAACTAATTTCATCAGTCGATTAAATTAATTATGATTACATATATGACAAATGATTAATTTTGACTATTAATTTGCTGATCGTTTTAGTGAAAAAAAACTGTAATCGATTAATGCTCCACTTTATCTTGTATATACTCCGTGTTTATTAATATTAAATTTATTACCTATTCCTAATTAGAGTTGCCAGATGTCCAGATGGACAGTTCAGTTGGCAAACCTTATACTAAGAATTCTAAATTTTAGAATTTTCAGTATTATTTTTTTAAGAAAACACTATAAAACTTAGTATAGCGTACGCAGTATGATATATTCTATTTTATTACTGGATAGTCTATCTGGATAAAAATCTGGACGTCTAACATCTCTAATCTTAATTATTATATTTAATTTTGTATTCCTTTTATTCCTTTCCAATATTGCGAAAAATATTTCTGACTGGGGTACTATTTTTTGCAACATTGAAAAGGAAGCATTTAAACAATGCTCAATTAAATAATTGAAATTAAATAATAAGATTAATTGATATTAATAATTAGGACACATAGGATTGAACGTGGAAAGTTGATCCAACGTATGCGTTGAAAAATAGTGGACACGTGCGTTATCGCATTGTCAAATATTATTATTCTTCCACAGTGGAAATTATTCGCGTTATCATCTATGATTGATTCTTGTTGGCGCTATATTCTCTTACTTGAAAGTGCTTGTCTATATACAGAATATAATATACGTTATCGTGATCATTAAATACCACGATCAGACGTGTTTGAAACAATAGTTTTGCTCGTACGTCGTCTATACGCGGGATTTCATAACGGTTATTATCTCAGTCGTCGTGTACCTGTCTACTAACGCGTAACAATTACGCGATTCTACCAAAATTCCAAGCTGCGTTCTATAGACCGTCCGTGTCTCAATTATCGCACGAATGGATTTACGTTTCTGTAATGTAATCTCGACTCACCGCGAGGGATGATGGCAAATACGATACGCTCCTAAATATACACACATTAGCGAGAGCCGGGGAAAAGGAGAGAGGCAGACGCGGAGGAAGGAAAACCGCGAAGTTCACGAAACAATCAGACAGTCAAGGTGACAACGGGCGCTCGGGCAATCACGGAGTTGAAGTATCTTAGTCTCGGCGGTATCTCTGTAATATACCACTACACTCGAAGTGTCACAATGGCCATTATTTCAATTAGAGTCTGCCGACTGTAGACACTCGCGCGCCTTTCTATTCTACCTTTCTTGGAATAAAGTTTTACTCAAAAAGTAAAGTGGTCACCGAGACACTCGAATTCGAGTGACCTTTTACACATAAGCTAAATTCTCCATACTTAAAATCATCAAATGAGTATTTTTCACTCGAAATTGAAGAACGAGTCTGATTTATTTTATTATCACAGAAACATATTTCCGCTATCGCTTTTATACTATTCTTTACAATTTTAGGGATGAAATTTCACTCGAAAAAAGTAATCACTCGTCACTAGTTACTCGACCACTAGTCACTCGAATGATTTTTTATTCATATAAAGTGCTCACTTTGTGTCATCAAATGAATATTTTCACTGAAAATTGAAGAGCGAATTTAATGTATTCCATTATTACAGGAACATATTTACCCTGTTTAAAATATTCGTTCATATGGAGTCAGTTTCCACTCAAAGTTTGAATGAAATATTCACTTTTACGAATTCGAGTGGCAATATTTCCACTATCACTTCGAGTGAAAATATTGCCACTTTCCACTCGTTTTGAGTGAGATGCCACATTCGAAAAATTTAGAGAGTATACGCGTTGATTACGTTATCGATACAGAATTGCAAAACGTATTCCACAGGATTGCGAAATACCAAGGCCGCAATTATCACGCGAGCCTAATAACGCTTCCCTAAGCAGCAAACCGTTCTGAGAAAAAAAACGCCGGCTAAAACGTAATTTCTTTCCGCAGCGCGTCAACATACACGTAGCAACGAGACCCGACGAGAGGGATGGAGGTAGGTAGGAGCAGGGTGACGAAAACTACGAAGTTCATGAAACAATCAAGCAGTCAGGGTGACAGCGAGCGCAGGCACGACGGTAGTCGTCGGCTCGAGGCGAGCGGGCAGGTTAGGGTGGGTGAGAGACAGAAAAGGAGGGGATGAGAGTGAGAAAGGGCGAGGGTGGGTAGACAGGTAGGCAAGCAGGCAGGCAGGCAGGCAGGCAGGCAGGAAGGAAGGAATAGCGCCTGCGCGCTGAAACGGCCGGGCTAGACGCGAGAGCCGCCACTCCCGAGCGCGTAGCGGTGTACCGCGGGTGCTGACCGAGTGTCCCCGTGAGAAGAGCGAGAGAGAGTGAGAAGGCGAGAGAGCGAGCGAGCGAAAGAGAAGTGACAAGGAGCAGACAGAAGAATGTCGATCGCGAGAGAAAGGATCCTGCGGAAGCGGAGCCCGTGGCAGGACATCGCCGGCGATCAAGAGGCTCCGACTCTGTAGGGCGCGAGGTACGCGGACAACCTCCAGGAAGACCTCGCCGCTGTCTCCCTCCTCCGTCGACCGGTCCGATAACACCCGTTATCCCCCGCTCGAGTGTCATCCCGGTGCCACTTCTACCCCGAAACGCAGCGGGAATCGCGAACGAAACTCGGTGTCGTGCGCGGAAAGAACGGGGTGAAAGAGAAAGAGAGAGAGAGAGAGAGAGAGGGAAGAAGAAAGAGAGAGAGAGAGAGAGAGAGAGAGA